ATCTGAATGGCTCATGTATAATCTGGACAGATCCTAGAAATGGCAGCAATTTTTATAGACCCATTATAACAATGAGATCTTTTCCCAGGTCACTAAGACCCATCCAGCACAGCACTTTCCAGGAAACAGCAGCCAAAACTGGATGCTTAGGAAAAACATTAAACTGACAGAGAAGTAACTCCTCGGTACTGTGAATTAACACTGTCACTCAAAGAAGCCATCCCACCCTCTCCCCGTGACACATCAGGGTGTGCCTGTGACAGGGAGCTGGCTCAGGAAGGTGACCTGGCCAAAGGAGGAAGCTTCTCCCCTCCTGCTGTGCTGGCAGGAAGCCGGACCCAGGAGCAGCCGTGTGCAACCAGGGCTGGGTAAAATTCCTGAGGAAGCACAGCACTGAGACACGGGTGATCCTCCCCTGGAAGGACTTTACCTCCAGCACAGTTCAGGGGTTTCCTCAGTTAGTGGTGGCATCACAGCCGCTCAGCACCATGGATCAATGCAGTTACAGCTTTATGCTGCATAACACTGCTAACCACAATGGTAATTGGTGATTTTGAAAAGGCAGCCCATAATAAAAATAAATATTAACCATTGTTTTGGTATGCTATTATTTCAGTGACCTTTCAGTTCTGTTTCAAAACTTCCAAGTGCATCAGCAACATGCTTTTCATTAACCCTGCAGTTTACTAACATGAAGAGCCACAGAAGATTTCAGGACATCCATACAGGCATTCTCTCACCTTATATAAACTTCAAACAGCAAGCAAATCTGGTACATCTGGTAAAACTGATGTACCAATTAATGTAACTTTGCTCTTGAATGTGCAATTCCTCCATGAGAAAACCACCTATCAGTACTTAACTTCAGAGGCACCTGCTCTATTTTCTGTATCAGCTAATGTTGTACATAATAATGCTCCCATGAAAATATATATTGCTCATCAAAGCCAGTGTTTCTGTAGAGATACCCATTCATGCACATGATGATGCAATATAGAAACTTAATTCTGGCAAGATTTTAGCTTTAAGGACTGCACAAAACTTACATCAGTATTACCTTCTGTGCACAAGGGAACACTGAGTCTCCCTCAGTCAGCACTCTACACAACACATACATTAAGCTCCTTTGGGAAGAAAGAAAGGTTTGGGGTTTTTCCATCTTTAGGGTTTTGCAAATCACTGTGTCTCATGTATTCCCCATTCTGCTCCTGCACTTCTAAAAGTTCAGGGCTGTCTCACTCAGTTGATCCAGGCCAACTCCGCAGCAGGCTCAGCTTGAGCAGCAATACCTGCTTTTTACCTCCATCTGACTCAGCTCACCAGCTTTTGTCAAATCTAAGCCTGGGGACCTGGGACCTAGATCACACAGCACTTCTTCAGCTCATATAGTGCCAGCCTGGGGACAGCAGCACAAGGCTTGCTGATTCTGAGGTACACTTATTCATCTCCTCACTAATTCTTAAAAGCTTTTATTTAAAAGAATCACGTTTCACGAGCTGTTTCCAAAGACTTTGCCAGGGAAAGGGCAAGACCTTGAACCCCTCCTGCAGCAGAGCTCCTCATGGCCAGGCAGGACTGAATGACACCAAGAAGTCCTGATGGGTTGATCCCAGTATCCTCTGTCAGGGCTCCATGTGCTTTCACAGGAGGTGAACTCTTCCTTGCACAGCCCTGCCCAAGCTGGGGGAGAAGACCACAGGTGAACAGCCAAGGGAAGGTTCTCCCTGCCTTCACAGAGCAGTCTGGAGATCTCAGCACATTTTTCAGGGGGATACACCTTGGCTTTTACCTTCTAATGTAGAACTAGTATAAATTGATGTGAATAAATGAGATTATGCTGTGTCTTTTATAGAAGCTTATATCTCTCATGAATTCTTGGGTGTTTTTTTACACTATGAAAACTGAATTCCTCTATTCAGCTGTCAGGTCGATTTAAAAATTTCCTTGCAAAAAGTCATGATTACTAATTTACTTATTATTTATATTGCTCTGTGAAAGCCTACAGACCTAATGGTCTGGCTGGAAACAATAAAAAATACCTACATGAATATACATGTTTGTCATTAGGAACTAGTTACATCCAAGTGCACTGTGTAATTATTAAAATATCTTCTAGGACCTCAGCTGTCCCTGGGATAGAAGATTTCTTGCCTTCCTGCTTTTTATTTAGGGGTTTTCCAGTTTCATGGCTCCAAGATGCACACCTTAAATGCACAGGACCAAAACAAGACTGCCATTAGAGGGATGAGTCCTTACAGAGCTTCCCTGTAACAAACTCACACTAAAGTTCTGAGCAGAGTATTCTAGGAAGACTTAAAGCAGATAAAAAGGAATTTCATGTATGAATCACTGAGAAACACTTCACCATAAATACAATCTAAATTCTATCATATAATGAGATTTCTTTTTCTTGGAAATACATTCCTCCTTTAGTGTTCCTCTGAGCAGCCCCTCAAGAGCACACAAAAAGGAGACCCAGCAGTACAAAACACAAAATAAAGTCGTAGTGCTTAATGGCCAAGCCAGCACACACAGAGGTCAACCACTGCCGCTCCCACCGACACTGAAACCGGAGATAAGACCTCTGATGTGCAACAGCAGTGCAGAACCCAACACAGCACCATGTACAGTGAATGGCTACCATGTCTTTCCAGTTACTGGCCACCCTCAGGCAGGACACAAGGGCTGTGCAAATGAGGAAGCCATTTCCCTGCCCTCCAGCAGGCAGTGCAGCCCTCACACACCACGTGAGGGACTGGGCACGGAGCAGGACACGCGCAGCCTTTCCTCTCCTCCTCCTCGACAGGCTCCTGTGAGATAACCGGGTGTGCCTTGCCAGAGCAGCATCATGGCACTGCTGAGTCGAAGGCGCTGGTCCTGGAAAGGAGACACCTCCAAAATCAATATCCAACATCCAGTGCTTCCCAGCTGGCAGGGCAGGGCTGCACCGGAGGGGGAAGACAGGCTCTGCTGCAGAGCCCAGCTGCTACAGGGACACACCACGGCTGTGAATCTTCCATTAAACCGTGCAAGACACTTCATAGATCTTAATGTAATTTTAGTTAAACACAGTGAAAAACACTAGGATCTGTATTATCTGCTCATACACCCACAGTGCTGGAGGAGGGGGCTGTTAAAAAGAAGAAAATAGAAATTGCAGGAGTCTTTCACACCAATACATCAGGCAGCTAGAACTGTACACACCTCATCTGCTTTTGTGAACACCCATTTGCACATACAAGGATCTTGCACTAATTTGCAGGTTCTCACTGGGAATAATAAAAATCTGGCTTCAAGTATAGTTTAACTGCAGGAGGCACAGCAAGCAGCAGCAGTTAGAAACATTAGTTGTATAATCACAAGGCATACTGTGCAGTTTACCTATTTTGACCTTGAGATGGCAAAGAAAGAAAAGGTAGCAAGGCAAGTACTATATGGTCCATCTACTACAAAGATATAACACAGAACTGAAAGTGACATCAGCGATTGAACAATTAATAGATTCTCCTTCTGGCCCTGCATCTGCTGCAAATGCTGCTGTGCCTCATTTACTGCGCTGCTTAAACATGTTAAGGCAGAGCAAAAGGAAGAAGAAGAAAATAACTGAAGGAAAAAGAAAAGGAATATGCAAATGAAAGTAAATTCTTAATGATGAAGCAGGAGGAGACAAAGAAACTGAACAGAATGAGAAACAATCATAGTTGGGGCCAATTTTTTTTTTGTTTCTCTTTTAAAGAAGTGTGACCGACTGAAGGACAGAATTTTACATGCAGTTATTTCCCTGAAGACTCTGTCAGCAGCACTTCTGCCCTGTCGATGTCACTGCCTCAGCCAGTGCACTGCATTCTACAGCCCAGGCCTGTGTTTGTGAGCTTCAGACTTCTCCAGTCCCTCTCATCTCTAGGAGGACCACGTGGCTATTAGGCAGAGCTGTAGTTTACTCATATTACAATTAAACTACAGGAAAGCATGTAAGCATGCAAGGGAAGTGATGGTCTAGCTGCTACATAACTGCAGCCACAGAACAACACAAAAAAACCCCCCCATGAGTTCAACCTTATTGTGCCATCAACCACGTTTCACGTATTTTGAAGCATGCAAACAGGTTTAAATCATATCCACACACGCTCCCCTCACTTTCTCTGGATGCACGAAGCCCAAAAGACCGCAAGCTACACAAAAAAATAACAAAACCCACGGAAGGGGCGTTTATCCTGCTGCCTGAACGGGGAGTGAAAGGCAGCGGCCGCAGGAGGGTGGCCCAGCGGGAGGGGAACGGCAGAGCCAGGCGGCCCCGCTGTCCCGTCCGCCGGAGCAGCGCTCCCGGAGCCCTGCTGCACACACCGAGACACGGCACAGCACCCGCTGAACGCCGCCCCCGGATCGGGCAAACCCGAGCTCTGCCCCGCCGGCTCTGAGCTCTGTCCCGGCCCAGTCCGGCTTTTCCCGGAGCCGGCTCAGGACTGCCCGCTCCCGCTCCCGTTCCCAGCTCAGCTCTCCGGGCAGGACACGCACCAGCACCGAAACAGACGGAGGGGGAAAACCGATCCGTAGGTACTCACATGCAAGATGAAAATTAACTGCACTTCAGGCATACTTTAAAAGAAACATAAAATAACCCTGTATGACTGACGGCATTGTTCCCGAAAATCGTTCACCTTAATCACAAAAATACTTTGTACTTACAGCATTTAACACCTCTAGCAAAGAGTTGCTGCAATCAGATTCTTTGTTAGTAACAATTCGGTTAACCAGTTACTGCATTAATCAGTCCAAAGCTAACTATAAGGGATGTTTTAAAAAGAGCGTACCAAACAATGGGGGAAAAAAAGCCAAATAATACTATAACTATTACATTTTAGTTGATAAAAAAACCAAAACCAACTTAATAAATTATTCAGTGCAGAATCAAAACAATTTCAACAAAATGTTCTTCAATAAACACAATAATTCAAAGGTCAGCCATGTATCTTTCAATGAGCTTTTTTTTCAAGACTTACCTATGTTTTTCTAGTTCGTTGTGTGATGACCTATTAAAAAGAGAAAAAGACTATTAGAGAAACGAAAAATAAACCAAGATTCATAATATTTAAAAGCCATTCATAATATTTAAAAGCCAATACCTGCATAAGTTGCAAAAAACTTCTTTAAAATACATATTTAACATGGATTATGAAACAGCTTTTCTTTTAAATTGGTTCACTTTTAGATTCTTCAGGGTATCAACTTAATTTCCATGAGTAAACTGTAGGTTTGGGGGGAATTATAATATATTTGCATTTTTAGTGTTCTATACATCCAGAGACAGAAATGAACATTAAAAACTGAGCAGGTTAGTAATGAAAACAGCCCACGAGATTTTTATACATAAAGAAAAATTATGAGGATGCAGAAAGTGTTCCAAGATCTAAATGGGAACAGGTAATAGCAAAAAGCACCCAAAAAGCAGCTTTCAAGTCCATGGAAATGCAGAAAGAAAAATCAGCAGCTAATCACTGATGTTGTTGTTGACATCTTAATGGCAACAAAACAGGAATCCTCTTAATTCTTCTCGGTCTACAATGAGAAAATAAAACCCAAAAAAATCATAGTCCCTGTACTGACCACAGCAGCATGTTATCCTTTTCCAAACTACTTGGATTAAAGATTTCTTTTTTCTTCTCCAAAAATCCAATGCCTCTGTTTCTTTGCCATTAGAAGGCAGCCCTAAATTCTTGGAGGATTTTTTTTTTAAACTGATTCAGCTAAAAATATTCATTTTATTTATTTACACAGCTTGGATTAAAAACATTCCTAAAACGAAGTTACTGTTGCCGCTTCAGAACCAGCAATTTTCCGTACTTTCAGTTTTGTCCCGCTGAAAACATGCCCAGCGCATCAGGATCAAACGATGCAGAGGCGGTGGCAGCTTTTTGGGCTGGCAGATTATGTCAGAGCAGCTCTGCTGGAGCCTGCTGCAACCCCAGCCTGCAGCTGGGCACAGGGTGCAGAGTGAGGTCCCTTTGCACAGGCCAAGAGCACGGTCCCCCCAGGGAGCAGAGCCATCCCAGGGGGATTAGGGAGCCTTCCTGCACAAATGCTGCCCATGCCGAGCTGTCCTGCTCTCCCTGCACACACCGAGCTGCTGGATTCTGTACCTGGGTGTGACTGATGGCAGAACATCACTCTGGCCATAAAGAGGGAAAAAGAAAACAAAGCTCACACAAGAAACATCCAGTGAACAAACCCACAAGCAACTGATCTCAGGCCAGTTCCTTGCTGATCCTGCAAGGAACCAAGTGAACTGCCCCTCTGCAGGTAAAACTGAAATGCATACAATGTTCAGCACTGATGCTAATCTACTCTCACCATAAAGCATCTCAAGACATCAGTTATGTCAACCATTACCAGGCATCTTTTTCTCAAAAGCCTAAGAATTATTTATGTATTTTTGTTGCATCAAGTGAGCCATGATCAAGTAACGTGTGTATTTCTATAAGGCCATTTAAGTGCTCCTGACCAATGCAGCAACACTACAACTGTTAAACACATTTCCTGTGCTACATTAATAGGGCAAGGTGGGCTTGGTCAATCTTAAGATGATTTTGTTTTTATATTCTACTCCTACTCTCCGCACAGAGATCAGACTTCCTTTACAATCATTTCTCCACACCAATGTTCACAAAAATTGACAAAGACCATGCTAAATCCACCAGTCTTTATGAAAACACATGGAAAACACAAGTTCAATAGGGAACCATTGTCCCCAAACACCCTCAACAGGCCTGTCAAAGGCACTGTTTGTAGGGAACTTTAAAACCAGAGAGGAAATACAGGCCAGCCTGGATTCCTCCCTATGACATGAACTCCTTGACATTTCTGGCAATTAGACACAAAGGTGAATGCAATCACTCCAACTGGCCCATTCTGAGCTGCCAGCTCCCTGCAGCTCTGGTGAGCACACACGGGGACAGCACAGGAACCACCGGCCAAGAAATTCTCTCAGCTGGGCTGAGAGAAGATGTCACAAGCAGCTGACAGTCCTGCACACAGCAAACCTACATAGCACCTGTGGCACAGGAAGGGTGACCCTGGCATTCTCCTGAGGGATGTCCTGCCAGAGCAGCTCTGGAGCACACAGCCGTGGGTGTGCCAGCTGCCAAACGGAGCAGCAGTGACCATGTGCCTCTTGGCAGAGCTCTTGGGGACACAAAAGCCTCAGCAACGCCTGCAGTGTGCAAACGTGGGCACCAGCCACACACTTCAGGAGGTGTCAGGGGCCAACTAACACCCCAACCTTCAGACCCCAGGTAGAAACCAAAACCAAGAGTCCATTTACCTGAGAATTGCTCCATCTACAGAGCACGTTAAATACCCTATTACAAAGCATAACAGGGATGTCTTTGGTTGAGTTTGTTTTCAGAAGAGATGAACTTCTCTTGAAATACTGGTTTTTATTTCCTTCACTATCTACAGCACAGTATATTGCAAGAATATACATCTCCTGCTGTTTATGCAACCTAAATTGAGAGAAAAAACATAAGAACTGGTCTCCACACAACCCAGTACCCTGTTTCAAAATGGAGTCTTTCATTACTTCAGTAAAGATAAGATGTATGTCACAACAATAAGATATATGTATATACGTATTTATAAGGGAGAGACAGCTATCTGGCTGTGGTTTGCAGGCAAATGGCCTGTGGAACCTTTCAAAAATGGCTTCAAGAGAAGGAAGACTTCTGGTGTTTAACTTAGGTTCACTCAACTGAGTTTGTATCTCCACAAAAAGCTTGGGGAAGTTGGGAGTAGCAGTGAGGAAAAAAAGGTAAAAAGGTTCAGATAAAGGGAAAAAGCCAACAACAAAAAACCCACAAAATCATAGGTTCAGAAGGAAGGGATAACGAACGCTGATGCTTAGACTACGCTGTTGATCTGAGACAGCTCTAGTATCCCTTTAGCAAATATCAAGCAGTTCACTGACTATAAATTTTATTTGTGAAAAAATTGTCAAAAGAAGATTTGAAGGAACAAAGAGGAACCAAGGAAATGCAGCCATTGGTCTGCAAGATCCTGTGCTACTTCGCACAGCACACCCCAGAGCCATCCCCGTCCACCACCTTCCTTTCCCCAAACAAGAATTCTTGGTATCGGATTTCAGCTTTTGGTTGATTCAACATTCAGCAGACACACCTAAGAAATTTGGACAGGTGCTAACAGAGATGGCAAGACTAACACAGAAAAGCCAAGTGCCCCTCCACCTCCCCTGCTGCCAGTTTATGGGTGAGCCAGCAGGATCTGGTCACAGGCACACTAGATTGAGATTCCTCTGTATGCGGAATGCCCTGCCTGTTTCAGTATTCAGCTTCCCTACTCCTCCATCCATCTACCCCACCAGACAGGGCATTTGCTCAGCAGGAAGCCAGCAGCTCCTGATAAAAGCAGGGATGTATGGCAATGCTGCTGACATTTACTGCCCCATGTTAATGGAAGCAGGTCTAGACCGTGACTCACCAATGCACTTCCAGTTGCCAATGCACTTTAAAGCACTACAGGAAGCAAAGCAGGGTAGGTAACCAAGCACTTGAAACAGTGGCAACACCTTACCAGTGCCAGGGCTTTCTGGTGCAGGCAGAACTGCCAGGGTGTGATACAGCCCATGTACAACTCCACCTCAGGTCATGCAGCCATGTGAACTACACTGCCAGCACTTCACCTTTTGTCCAGGCCAAAAAAGTAAGAACAAAGAGAACAGGAAGCTTTACAAGGTGCTACACCTTAAGTGTCTGCATCCAGTTCCCACTCCCAGAAGTGCAGGTGGGTAAAAGCACAAAGCTTACACCTGCAGTCTCATGTGAATGCGACTGCCGTGCAGCTTTTCATTGAAAGGATCCAGAATCACTTCCAGGAAATTCCCTGTCCACATACCTAACCTGCTGTGGAATGAACCTGGAAATACTACAGTTCACTCCACAAAGCACAGATAAACCTGAACATAAGCACACATTCTGCCTATTATTCACTGCTTCTGGGTTGTTGGTTTTTTCCATTTCAAACTGGACACATTGCTTACAGCCTGTCAAAGAAACAGCCTGTACCAAATTAATCCACTAAAAATTAATTTTGTATTCTCCTCATAGCAAAATTAAACTGGTTCTGCAGATTCAGCTGGGATCTGGGAACCAGGCACACTGGCACAGCCTTGATGCAGAGTTCTGGCTCCAGGATCACATTCAAGTTGGTGCTGCCACATGTTTGCAGTGGCCAGGTCTGAATGTGCTTCTAATACGGTGGCAATTTGTTTTCCCCAACTGCACAAGCAGTGCAGCTCCCAAACATTGCAGACCTACTGCAGTTCCTTAGGGTGACAGGTCGATGGGTGAAAGCTGTTACATTGGGACTAAAATGCATTATTTTGAAACCAAATGTGGCAATATCAATTGCTGTCCTAGCTTCAGGAAGGCAAATGAGAAAGATCTATCGAATTCAAAAATCCAGGTGAAAATTCAGAGGAGCTGTGTCTGCAGAGTCTGCTTTGCAGTGTTTCATTCTTGGCCTCTCACAAAACAAAAAAAAAAAAAAAAAAAAAAAAAAAAAAAAAAAAAAAAAAAAAAAAAAAAAAAAAAAAAAAAAAAAAATTAAGGAAAAATAAAACAAAAATCAGGCGCCGATCCCTAAGCTGCTTAGTGTGGGCACAGAAAAACATCTGCAGAGAGCAAGGGGCTCGCTCTGCGGGCCACAGGTTCACCTCCTCCACGAGCCAACATCAACAGAGGAATTTGGACATTAGGCTCTGTTTTTATTTGAAAATCCAAATGCTGCTTTCATCTTTTTCTGCATATAACCCTTTGCCAGAACACAGCACGAAGTACATGTCTATTTATATAACATACAAGCAAAAATATTAATTAATTAATAGACACAGAAGATATATTTATAAACTGGCATTTATTTTGCTCCCCCTCGTTCAATAAACCAGCTCCTAAATTAACAGGCCAAACACACTGCATCACCGACATTCAATTCCTTTCTCTGAAAGTAAATTTAACTGTGACCTCAGTAGACTGGCATCTAACACTAAGATTTTGCTTTTCATTTTTACCTTATTTCTGACTCTTTCACAGTGAAGCAGCTGCCTGAGCTCCCTGGTGGATGGGCAAACACACACCTCAAACCCACACACAGCTCAAGGTACCCAACACCTGGTGAGTGAAACTGCAGCTAGGGCAGAAGAAAGCCCAGTCATCTGCAGGATGGCATGTTCCTCTGTAAGAGTGCTTTGCCTTGTGAGCAAACGTCACCAAATTTCAGATTTGTGTCGCATTCCTCCTCGGCACATCGCATACGTGTCACCTGTGTGTTTCTTTGGAGCAAAAACCAAGCTTGGCTTTTTAATATTTGCTATTAACATTTCCAAGGTACAACAGCAATAAATCCAGCTCTATGTTTTATGCCTTTTTTAATTCTAAGTACACCTTAACAAGAATTATTAGACTGCATGGCACTGCTGTAGGAACTACATACAGCCACTGCTCTGCGGAGACATTTATTATACTGTAGTCAAGTACCTGATAAGTATTATTGTAACAAGATGTGACCTAGGTTTACCTCCCTGCAAAAGATAATATTGTGGCTTTCTCTAATCTCTGTCCTCTTCACAAAACAAGAATCCAGTTTCATTTGCCAGAGGATTTTGGTCAAAATTACTGGGGGGAAACAAGTCTGAATCTCAGCTGAGGACATGGTACAAACAGCAAACCAGAAAGAAAACAAAGCATTTTGGTTTGTGTGACATGGGAAAGGGCACATCACAGGAAACTGAGAAGAAAACATGTAAGATCAAGACATTTTAATATGCAACAGAAACAGAAATGGCTAAAAACTGTATCTGATTGCTACCAATAACACCAATAATATTGTTTATCAATAAACTGCTAACAACCACTTTTAATTTTGATTCAAAGCTAACAGTGGACAAAGCAAAACTGTTAAATTCCTACAGCGGACAGAAAGCTTATAGATTTTGGTTAATTAAATGCAATTCTGCTGGTATTTTTCCCTGCACAAATCTCAACCTGCCAGAATTACTTCTCACTCAATTGCAGTCAAGAGGCCAGCAAGCTTTTAGCCCAGAGCCGAGCATCCTGTCCGAAGGGCTGGCAGCCTCCTGCCCCTTCTCCTGTGGGTCTGGGCCTCGCCAGCCATCCACAAGGGATGGAGGCCTCTCATCAGTTTCTTACATGAACATCACCAGCACCTCAGCAGAGGAAGGAGGGGTCCATCAGCACCCTTGCTGAAGCCCAGGGCAGCTGGAATCCATCCCTGCTCGTCTCCCAGCCCACGGCACCTGGCCAGCACACCTGTGCTACACGGGGTACGCTCTTCCCCCCACAGGCAGGCACACGAGGGGGAAAACACAGAACAAAGAAGAGTACAGCATGCCAGGCTTCCTCACATCTGACAGTTTTTCTCCTCCTCCCCTCTTTTCTGATTTTCCAAGAATAAGGAGATGTTTTTCATGCTTTTCTATATGTACACCTCATAAGGCATGAAAAAACCAACGTATGTGCATATATACATCTCTCACTTTTTAAATTGATCAGATGCTGCAAGCAGCAGGATACAAAAATAGATAATGAAAACAACAATGCCCCTGCAGATCCGAAATGTGCAGTTAGCTGCTCCTTTCCTACTCCTCCAAATGTATTTTTAATCCAGAAAAACAATGAAATAATAAGGCATGAATTTCAGACATGTATGCAATCAGATGCCTCCCTGCATCTAATGCTCCAAACCCAGTGAGTCTGGAAAATGGTTAAAGTGGAACAATATGGACAAACACTTTGCTCGGTGGTTCACATCACCCACGACCACTCCAGATCCTCTGAACTTTGGCCAGTCGTCTCCCTCTGTTAATCTTTGAGTTGCTTAGGAAGAATTAACCATGTTTCCAAAAATCCACTCTAGTCTGGGGCTCAGCCCCTATAGCCTCTAAGCTCCAAATAATAATAAAACAGTGATCTGGTGTACATCATGTATTTTGCCCTGCATATTTAAATTCAGGGATAATTTCTCCCCTGCAAATTTAAGTGTGCAGGCAAACGTGAGCAACAATTGCTGGACATGGGTACAAAGCCCATAAAGACAATGCAGAGGTACTCACAGAGCCCTGCTGCTGCCCCTCTGTCCCTGAAGGTACAGTGAGATGCATTAATGCAACGTCCCTCTGCTTCCCACACCGGTCAGCAAGCCTGGTACCCATGCTGAACCAAACCAGCCACTGTCCCAGCAGTGCCTGCACTGGAAACCATTCTCTGACAAGCACTGTCCTGTCCTGTAACACCATGACCCATCACTGCAGCTAGGAGAAAAGAAAGTGTGAGTAAATGTAAACCTTGCAGGATGGCGTTTTTGAAGGCTGCACTGCTACAGAGTGAGAATAGAACAACACACTAAACAGGTAAATAAATACAAATCTGCAGGCAGAAAGAAAAGCAGAAAGGTAACTGCAAGTGGATGTGTGCGCCTCAACTTCAATAACACTAGCAAATCTGTAACCAGAAATCTTTTAATTCTACTGTGTTTGATAGATTACAAATCCTCTCCTAAAAACTCCTGAAAGCAGCTTACAATTCAGACAAATAACTATTTTGCAGTGGATGACAAGAGCCCTAAGAACGGAAACGATGGAATAATAGCTCTGTAAGTAACACTGATTTCTTGAATGCAAGAGAAAGACAAGAAATCTGTACTACTCGAGGAGAAATTTACACCTTATGAAATGTGTTTTAAATTTTTTTAAAGACAGTGAGCATACTTTATATGAAAATAATTAAAAATCTTAAGGAGCAAAGTGTCTCAGGACGCAAGACACTCCTCCCACTCCTGATGACTTTCTCTTTTAAAATGAACTGACTGTCTTCTCATGCTCCATGATGAGACAAAGAATTCAACTAAAACTAAAACCGAAGTAGTACTGTAATTAGCAGCCCCCAAAATGGTTGCCTTGCTCGGAGCAGGGGCATGGGGACACAATTTGCTCCTTCTCAGTAATCCTCCAGACACACCGCTCGGCCGCAGCAGGCACCACCAGGGCGCTCAGCAGCCCGTGTTTTTGCTCAAGGAAGGAGTCAGTTCGTCAGCTTTTGATTTCGGTTTGCACCTTGGTGCCCCACGAGCAGCTCCTGGCCGTCTGCCGGGCACCTCCCCAGCACCAGCCGACCCGGCCGCAGGATGCCCGCCGAGACTCACTGCTCCTTTGGAAAACAAGTCACGTGCAAAGCAAGTTCATTTTAGGCTATTCTAGAGGAGCCACCATCCAGCATGACCACGCAGAGCGGAGCCTGCGCTGGGGAGAGCATCGCTGCCCCGGGACGGAGCAGGCCCAGCAGGGCACGGTCCCCGCTCCTCTCCGGAGCAGCCCCGAGGAGCAGAGCCGAGCCCAGGGCTGGGCTCGCTCCGGGGCAGGGCCGGCAGCGTCCCCGTAAGACAGACAGCCTCCCGCACGTACACAGCCGCTGCCCCAGCAGCAAACAAAGCTGCAGAGCCTGCGCACAGCCGCGCTCGGCTCCTGCCATCGCAGCGCAGGTAGCGGCTGCGGGGCAGCGCCGGAACCGAGCGGCGGAGCGGCGAGAGCCGGGATCGACAAGGAGCGAGCCGCGCAGCCCGGCGATCTGCGTGCGGCCGCCGGCCGGAAGGCTGCGAGCGGAGCTGCGGCACGGCCCGCGGGGAGGTCGGGCTCGCTCCGGCAGCTCCTCGCCCCGCGCCTCCCGGACAGCCCGCAGGGCGGGCGCAGTGTCCCCGCCGTCCCGCACACGCTCCCGCCCCGGAGCCCAGCGCCGCCGCAACCGGAGGCTGCATCTGCTCCGGCTGCCGTGGGGGAGGCGGCCGGCTCGCTGCCTGTAGTTTATAAATGAATGCCGGGGGGGAAATTAGGTGCCATGCAAAGAGAAATCTGGGTGGCGATTATGGTGTTTAGGTCTGCAGCAAAAGCCGCTGTCGGCGAGCGCGGAGCAGAAGGAGCGATGAGGGCGGATGGGTCTGAAGTGCAGTGAGTACTAAGGAGATGGTGTACGCGTGGCAGTGTTTATATGAGAGATCAAAACAGAGCCAAGCCCATCCAGGGGAAAAATGGCGACTACCGGGATGGGGAAAACTGAGACACTGGATTAGTTATTATTTTTCATAAATGTATGCACTGCACATAAGCTAGACACATTGGAAAAGCTGACGATTCATTCTGAAAAAGCGGTGCGTCTATTACCTGTTATTCTGGGATTTTCTGGCCATGGTGCCTGCCTTTGTTTTCTTTCTGGAATAGTCACTATCGAAGGGTAACACTGATGCATAGCCATGTTCTGCTTCTAGGGACAAAGTCAGCATTAGTGGCAATATATTTTTTCCATGCAATTTTTTCCTCCTTTGCAGGAACGCTAGGGTAAAGAACAGAATTTTTTCCGGTTGATTTGTTTGGATTTTATTCTGGCATCTCTTAAAGAAGCGAGACAAAAAAAAAACAACAAACCAAAAACCATAACTCGGTAAACCAAAGGGGAAAAAAAAAAACAACACCGAAGTGTCGAAATTAGGAGGATTATTGGAGTGCACATTAAAAACGAGGCGGATCATGCAAACCCTTGTCACGCTGCGCTGGGGGAGGGGAGCTGCCATACAATCACCGACTGCCACACACGGAGCGGCGAGAGGGATCCTGAGCGCTGCCACACGCTCCGTCCCCGTCCAGGGCGGCACAAACAGCCCCCTTCTGGCTTGCTTGGGGGATTATATATTTTAAAAAGCCAAGATCCGAGCAGCGGTGCTCCCCCAGCGCGGTGCCGCTGGCGCAGCCCGGGTCCCCCCCGGGCAGGTGCGGGCTCGGGGCCGCTGCCCCGGCCCGGCCGCCGCACAACAAAGGCCGAGAGCGGCTGCGAGCGCCTGCGGGTGCCTGACCGACTGCCCGCCTGCGCCCTGTACCTCGGTCTCTTCGCTCCAAGTACTCGGCCGCTTCCAGGAGGATTAACAGGGAGTTCAATTCCATGGCTGCCCGTCCCGAGCCCCCCGCGCCGAGTTCACGCGCGGGGACTCCCGAGCCCCCGGTTTTAAGGCACCTCGCTCAACCTACATTTGACACACAGCAGACGGGCAGCCCGCGCAGCCAATGGCGAGCGGCCCACGGCCGCGGGGCGGGACGTGAGGCGGCGGCCCAGCCAATCGGCGGCCAGAGTCCCCCCCCCCAGTCGGGGCAGGGGATGTTGACAGATCCCCGCCGCCCGCGCTCATTGGCTGCCCGTGTAGTAACAATTTAGAAGCCGAAGCTTAGCAACAGCACGTGGTGGCCCGGCCCCCTCGCCCGTTCATTGGCTGCTTCCTTGCATGTTAAGAAGGCCGCAGTCGCCTATTGGTGCGCGGGGCGTCATGCAAATGAGGACGGAGAAGGGGGCCAATGGGGCGGGAGGCGCGTGCCGCGCGGCGGGAGGCGGGGAGAGAGGAGCGGGCAGCCAATGGGCGGGAGGGGGCGTGGCGTTGCCGTGAGGAAGCGGTAGGCGGAGGCCGGGGCCGCAGGAGGCTCCGCCCCCGCACACGCGCCGGGCGGGCGCGGGGCAAGCGTGAGGGAAAACGGGAAAAAGGGGAAAAGGGAAAGTGAGGCGGCGGAACTGCCCGTCAGGGACAGCAGGGCGGGAAATGAACGGGAACGAAAAAGACACAAAAAGATACAAAAAAGATACCAACGGGACGCCGGAGAGGCTGTGAAAATGTGCCTGGCACGCGCATCCTTGACCCCTTGCGGTGCTCGGGGCAGAGAGGAAGACGGCAGCGCTGTAAAAACACGCACAGGGACGTAAGAGAATGACTGAACTCTGCACAATGGCCTAACCTGCTGGAAAAGAGAAACAGTGGGAAGCTCTCAGAAATGCAGCCAGAGTTCCTGCCAGCCCTCCAGCCCTTGCCAGCATATTCAGCTGCCTTTCGTCATCTGGATACACAGAAGCCGTGTACCAGAATAGCCTGGCTCCCGGCGCACAGGCTGAGCAGGAAGAGCTCAGCACCTTTCCTGTCCACACCATCCTATTTGCGCTGCTAACTCTGCATCCTTATCGCAGATAGCTGCTGCACAGCTGTTGCCTAAAACTGGTTGGTTTTAACACGAGCAAGTGTAGTTTTAAAATAGGCATATTTTAAGTTGTGCTGTGATCACACATTGGTACATCTTCAGGCCAAAAGTGCTGAAGCCTGTAATCAGTCCTTCTGCAGGATTGCACTTGGGCACACAACTGGTCCCATTGGTTTTAATTGAACTGTTTAGGTAAAGAGCTATCCAGCTTATAGGCTGGATGCAGTGTTGTCCTGTGTGTTTATTTCTGGGCAAAAAATGTCAGCCAGAGTTTCCTTTTAAGAGGATAATAGCAATTCAGATTAAAACAAGGGTTATGGTTTACTGTTTCTACAGCATTATGGTAAAGCCACATATACATTACACCTGATCTTGTATTAGTCTGTATCTTGTTGCCCCAGATGCCAAGTGTAATGTGGCTCTCGAACATCGCTGAAACACAGATCACATTTTACTGCCATTTGGTCCAGGCATCAGAGATAAGAGAAAATACAAGGCAGTGAAGAAAGCAGCATTGTGATTGTAGTTTAGGAGAATTTTGTATTTGTTTAGGAAAAGTCTGAGTGACTATGAATTACAAGGCAGAAGGGAATTTGGTGCATAGATTACAAAGGTAAAAAAAATTGCTGTAACATTTTCCACTTGCTGCTTGAACTGTTGAAATCTTGCTGCAAGTGGGTGAGACAGTACAGTGTTTACTGTAAATCCATTGACCCTTGTGGCAGTTTTGCTGTTAACTGGAAGTAGGTTTAGACACTACTTGACATTGCCTTCTGTTACGAAACAGCATGAAACCATATATGTACAGGTCTGCTCTGTCCACACAGGAAAGAAAGTTCCCTTTGCCTGACACATGCGTAGGGCACTTAATGTGGAAGATGCAAAGATGCACAGATAAGGCATCGGTGTTCTCTACTCATCTTCAGAACACCTATATTTGTGTGTTAGTGTCTAAATGATCTTAAACTGCCTTGTACCCATGCTGTGGAATCAGTCATACATCCAGAAAGGCAGATGAATGTGCTAGGTATGTAGGTCCTTGTGGGAAGGCCCAGAATTTCAGATTTACTGAGGCTCTGAATGCCGAAAGCTCTGCCCTACCACACTGCAAGACCACAATTTCACCTGGAAAAAAACTCTGGAAACACAGGGGTGTAACAAACACTGCACAAGACTGTGCTTCAGGAGGGTACACAGCCTGAGCTGAGCACCCTGCTGAGCACTGCCCTCACCAGATGCTCCTTGGAGCTTGGAGTGATCCAGCTGCTGAACTGAAGCCACCCTCAGCCTCCCCTGCACTCCCCAGTACCCAAACTCAGCACCCCTAACCACTCCCGAGGCAAAAACCATTGCTCTCTCTGCTTTCAAATGTGGACAGAAGTATTTGGAAAACAGTAGTTCTAAGGAGATGGAGCACAACTTCACATTGATGTTGGCACTTTCCAGGGCCTTGTACCTCCACACTTCCCTGCATGGAAGGGCTGCTTTGGTAAGTAAGGAACCACTGAAGCCAGCTGGACTATGTGCAGGAGAAAGTGTTGTGCGAAATAGGGGCCAGTGCCATCACAAAAGGCACCTGATCTCTGATCATGGTGGCTCTCAGCCTCAGGAGTCATAAACTGTATTATCCTGCTGGAACTGTAACTGTGTATGTAACCCCACACACTCAGAGAGCCCCTGCTGATGAAATCCAGGGTAAATCCACACATTTGGGAAGGACAGGGCTGGCTCATGCCTGACAAACACTGTCACACATTTACCTGTAGTTGCATTGAAGAAGAACACAGCAACAACATGTTAGTCCTAAGGAGTTTTATCATTTCTCCTAGGGGTGAACTCAACTGAGTCCTTCTCATGAGATGCCACAAAAGCTTTTAAAATGCCTAGAAGAAATCATTCTGGATCTGGTTTTATTTGTGCAGGGAACCAGGACTAGTTTTGGTGGTGTCAACATGGGTGCATAAGTGTAAAATGGGTGTGAAAGAAGATCACCCAAATTACTTTAAGAACTGAAGGACAGGCTCTAAGATAGATGTGTGCTTGAAGGCTTTGCAGATTTGTGTCTCTAAATAGCTTTCTTCCATTTCTAAGAGCAAGCAGCAGGAACAGCTGAGTGCTGAAGAAACAGCTGGCCTTCAGTGATAAGGGGTAGCTGTCACTTCATGGTAAAGTTTGAAAAAGTTTGAATTTAGAAGCAGAAGCGAGATCCATCAGCAGCCACACCCAAAAACCTGAGCTGTTTTGCAGTTTCTTCGCCACCTGCACTTGGTGATTGGAATGGTAATATTTACAATTTTAAATGTTATAGTGTCTTTCTTTTCCAAAATCTGTCCTATGGCATGACTTGGCATGTAAGATCAGTGACATCAGAATTGTTGACTGCCCCAAGCTGTGGTGAGGGCAGAGATCTGAAGCTGATGATCAATAATTCAAGAAACTTTAATCACTATTTCCCACATATGGCCTTAAAGAAATAATTAGACCTACCCTGCTTTTCAGATTTGGCTCATTGTATCTATTGCATGTTTCTTTCTTTTACCATTAAAATTCCATATTATATCATATCCCTCTGTCCAGAGTTAAGCCCTTCACTGTGCCTTGGACTCCATCCCTCTGTTTTCTTGGGTGTTGCAAGGTTTAAGTAATTAGCAAAGACTAACTCGTCTGCCCACATAGGAGGGGATCTATGTGCTCAGGGCTGGCACTGACAAGTTTCATCTCCCTGACTCAGTATCTCAAATTCCATTTATTCCTCATCTTACTTGTGATTCAGATAATGAGCTCTGTTTCCTAGATACAGAAACCAAAACACCTGAATATTGAAGGTGGAACTTTTGGAGGAAGTTTCAAAAGTAACAATTTTGTCAGTGCCCAAGCCCAGTTTGAGACATTCTGATTCTATTTACTCTGCCAAGTAAAGCAGTTCTCCAGCCCTGATCTCAAATGGCAGGTGTCACTGCATCTGTTTGGCCCTGTATCTAGACTGCTACTGGTGCACACGTGGCTTTTACTCATCACTTTATTTTATGTGTGGTTTACTTTAAGTTTGGGGTGGTTTCTCTAAGTTCAAAGTGCCTGAAGATGGGGGCAGCCCATCAGAGAGCTACTTTCACACCTTGAAGCTGAGGTTACATGACATTAAGATATGTGGGGTGTTGGGGTTATTGAGTTGCTGCTGCAGTGTTGAGGAACTGTGTCCTGTGAAGAAGTCATGTCCGTGCAACCTCACCCCATGAGGTTTCTGGGTTGGTCCTCGACCTGTCATACCCCTTCAGCTGCACCCAGATGTTGGCTTGGAGAGGATCTTTGGTCCAAGGATCACAACAACAAATAGTATGGATACTGTGGATTCTAGAGGACCTGAGTGGCTTCCATGGATTTGTTGGGCTCTCTGTGTGAAGTTCACTAGTCCAGCTTGCTGCTTGGCCTGACCAATTGTTTGCTGCAGCGTTTGAATCACCAGCTTTCCCAAAACAATTGGATTTTTCCTGATTTTGCTTGGGATTTAGCACAGGCTTACGTACTGCTGTGGTACACACATGCTTGAAAGCCAAATCTAAAAAGAAAAAGTACTTCAAACTGAATGCCAGTCCCTTGTAAGGTTATTTTCCTGTTAATTGCTGTTATTTTGAAAGACAACATTTGTATCTTGGTGTCCTTGAGAGTTTGGCTGCAGGGAGCTCGCATGCCCCTCTCCACCAGCACTCCCCGACCAGTGAGACGTGCAGTGCCCTGACGCCAGGCCTGCAGCCATTCCTGTGAGCAGGCATGAAATTATTCTTAACTGATTGAAGTGAAGCATGGATTGAAAAGCTTGAGAGACACTGCTTTACTCCATCATCCTGCTCTGGCTAAACCTGGCAATTTTAAATACCGTTATCCAAAAAATTCCCTCTGGCACTGCCACACTGAAAGTACTTTACAGGGGCAGTGGTATTGCTGCTTTCATTTTAAAAGACAAAAAATAAATGAGATAGGGCAAAACAACTGGCCAGTGTCACTGAGCA